ATTCGAGACTCTCTACCATTACATTTCTGCAGTAATAAACAAATTCACGTTATTTGAAGCTGCTTTGGTGTCCAACTTTTGCGTCGAAAACGCACTTAAACTGTCCAACTCTATTTCGTTCTATTTATAAATTTATTCTAAAGTAAAATTTATTACAAGAAACCTCGAATGCAATGTAGGCTCGCGGTACACTGTAAAAAATATGTAATTACATTTAAAAAATTGTACACAAATAACAAGTGTAAAATTGCATGCATTTGAAATGTATACATTTTTATTATTTAACGTGTAATTATACACTTATTTCTTTATGTAATTTAAAACATTTTTTCATTTAATTTTACATATTTTTACAGTATAGTACAATATCTAAGACTATTATTATTTAAATATGCGACTTAATATTAAAACGTGATAAACTCATTGTGCCATAAAATTAAAAAATGACAAAAGACATTAAAAAATTACACATATATAATTATTGCGTATATATTTACGTGTTGGATGATGCACATGTCGTTCAAATTAAATGACATTGCAATTATACTCCCTATACATATACTCAAAGAGTTATCAAGGCAGCAACTGTCGCTCTCTTTCATTAATTATTAGAAATCTGCGTAGCTGAAAGGGTCGTTAACTTAATTATGGAACTGGATCTATTTGAATGCGTTCTTTCCAGATTTGATAGCGTTCGATTAAATTCTATATGTATTCTTGATTGCATCCGTATGTGCGACACTTGCAAATGCGCACGTGGGGTGCAACGTTGAGTAAATATTATTTTAATAAAAGGATACTATATATCTAGTCGTTAATAACATAATATCGATTTATGCGCACAATTTTGAGATACGCATGCTAGGAAAATTTTCTCCGTGAAAATATGCATATCTCTTCATTTTGAATTAATATTTTCATGTTGATAATTATTAATAATGAGTGACCTGAAAATTAGCATCATTTATTGTTGACTACATCAATTAATAATTCATCAATAAATAAAATTATATTTGATACATAAATTCAGATAATGAATATAAATTCGTATATATTCTTGGTTTTAAGAAAATATTGGTAATCTGATTATAACATCACGATTTAATTTAATTTTATCCAATTTATTACAAATAATTTATAGGTATTATGATTAATAAATATAATTGATTTATATATGGTATATGTATTTTATATATAGTTGATTTTTAAACTAATATTAATGCATGTGATGAATGATATTATAAAATTTATAAAAGATATTTTCCTGAAAATTTTAAAAACTTCAAATTTACGCGAAACACAGATAATTTAATTTCCATAATACACACACACACACACACACACACACACATATATATATATATATATATTTATTTGATATAATTTGGCGCACATCTGATGTGACTCGCTTTCTCCAGACAATTCGATTATATTGCGTATAATCATTATTATCTCTCAAGGTTCAAGAGCCCTTTCAAATTAAAAGGATCCAAAAATTATTAAAGCAGGATTAAATAGTGAGGTTGAAACGCTGCGATTAAACTTTCATAAACTTAAGTAATATGCTCCGTTTAATTTCACTCGTAATACCGATTTAATTAATTGTGCAATTATACACGCAATAATTACACGTGCTTCAAGTTCTTTTCTTTCTGTCTTAATCTTTCCTCTAGCACAATGAGTTATCACGTTTTTCTGATAAATCGCGTATTCTCGAGTAAATTCTTAGATGTTGCAAATGTCGCGATCGATAAGCAGAGATATGCATAACCCCTAACCAAATTTAATCTCGATTTATATGCTAATAAAAAGAACTTTTGATTAAGATCAACGGAATCTTTCGGATAAAGTATTCCCATGACACGTTTTCATCGTCGACGTTTTCATTGTTGCGCGTCCACGTGAAACCGATTTGTTTAATACCTAATGCCGGAAGTTTAATCGATATATTCTAATTCGACTCGGAAGAGATAATGATCCAAAAACCGATATGAATAAAAGCCCGATTCCGATATTACGGTACGATCGATTAATATATAACGATCTCTCGTTCAAAGCTCACCCTGATGTGTCATGTACGAGTTCGTGTTGTTAAAATTAATTAAGCGCAGTATATCGAAGGATTTGCACCCCCGATACGTGTGTGGTCGGCTATAACGATGCTACATAACGTCAGGCTTGATGGGATACGGTGCTTTATCTCGGTGTATCGTCGTGTCGCATTAATCTGTCGCTCGTGACACCGAGGTAAAATCGACAAAGCGCAACGATGATGCCTGAAAGGCGGGAAAGTTATACGCGCAGTTATAACTGTGCGTGTTTGCGGATTCGCAGCATCCGTGTGCGTCTAGGTATATCTACGCTCTCGGGCATCATTCGTCATCGTTTCCTCTCTCGCGCGGCCGAAATATCTCGGCGTCGAAGTATCTATCGTCGCGCAACCGGTGCTTTCCGCCACTTACTTTCTCTCCGACGACGACGACGACGATGACGTAGTAAAAAAAAAAGACATCTGTCAGGATATTATACACTCGAGGATCGCTCGAATACAAATGATTCTGGATTCGCGTGTTTGCGAAAAATATGTACAGGAGACAGGTGGAGAAAAATGGGACAAATTTTTTAACTTTTACGACAATGCGTGTGAAATTTCGATCTGAATTTAACAAAGGCTTCAAACATTTTAGTTATTCACAAATTAAAAATAAAAAATTTGGTATATAAAAAAGAGTAAGAGCTAAGCACAGATGTTAAATAAATAAAAATAAAATTTTTTTTACATTTTAAATTTGATATATTAATACATGAGTTTTTTTCATTAATTAATGTACTAAATTAAAGGAAGAACCGAAACGTTCAAAATAGAGGAATTTCAAAATAATTTTTGCACCTAAATTTTATTTGGAGATTAATTGTAAATAGAGAAATGCATTTGGTATATATTTGCTGTGGAAAAGTACACAGAAACACGTACATTTCAAGTGAAAAAATAAACGCAACTAGTAAACCTGTATTTTTTTAAGTTACACTCAAAGCTTCAACTTCAAAATTTAACTTTAAGCTAACCATTTCACGCGGAGAAAATTACTGCAGTATGAAAGCAACGGGATATCGAGGAACGGCTTAAAATGCGACGGTCGGTTTCAATATTCAGCTTCAGCGTAATGATAGCGTATTACACACTGCGAGAAAGAGATAAAAAACGTTTTAAAATGTTCGTTTGAAGCTCAAAAAATAGAAAATCCGTATCAACCCGCGCAATAGTTAAGCGAGCACTTTTGCGGAAACGGATTATTTCGATTTAAAGCGCGTCCAAATAAAAGCGGGCATTTAAGGCTCAGGTAAAGGTATATTCATATGCCGAGTCCGACTTAATTAAACAGACGGACGATGTTGCAGCGTGCTTTTGCTCGTATATATATATATATATATATATATATATATATATATATATATACAATATAATACAAAAGCTAGGAGATGCGTGGCAAACAGCGATAATTAACATATATATTTGCATGCTCATTAAGCGTGACCAGGTGCTGCGACTGACTTGGCTACCGTCAGTTTCATGGGGTATTTAGCATCACAAAGGAGAAATAGTTTCCACAGTTGCCTGTGGTAGAGAAGACGCTGTGTAAACTGAGCTGAACCTAGGGGCATACAGGATGCGTTTCACGTGTACGTGCGTGCGAGCTGCATAGCTGCATTTCGCGCGATATATGTATTATAGAGTCGTGGAAAATGTTTTTCTTTTTCTCTCATTTCGAAACTTACGTCTCGGTTTACTTTCCCGCTTGTCTCTTTATATTTCAAACTAATCGCGCTTTTTATCATCGACATTCATTTCGATCAACTGCGAATAGATTTTTCTCTCTCTGATAGTCTTTTCGATTTTTATTTTAAAGCTATGAATTTAAATTGAATTTATGATACGACGTATAATTTTTACTGAAAAATTTACTATTTTATCATTGTACATATATTGTATTGTTATAATAAGTAATAATTTTTTTACATTTGTGTATATGTGTGATTTATTGATTCTTTTAATTAAAATTTTCATTAAAATATTTTTCATGTAAAGATAGAGTTTTTATTTATGTATATACATGATATTTAATTAAAAATGTATATCTGTGAAATATTTCTATCGTTTTACGAAATACGAATATGTTATTTATGGAATATATAATAATCTGCAACTTCATATAAAATTCAGTTCGTTTAATTTCCTGTTTAATACATTTTTTGAACAAAGCAGCTATTGATATAATTTTCAAAAACTTTAATTATAATTAATTAATTAATAATACATCACATTTTATGCAATTGAAAATTGTTGGTCAAAGTAATAATTTAATAATGATAATGTGTTACATGATATCTTGCTTTTAGAGCACAATGCACAAGTTAATTTTTATGGAAATTCAAGTTAAAAAAATTACGAATCACACACATCCATAGAGACACAAATACAAAAGAATAAATAATATAATTATTCACAGTTTTTCTTTGGAGGATGACACAATGCCTCGCTTTTATATAGAAAATCTAGTAATCATAATTATAGATAAGCACTATAATCTCATTACAATCGCAATCACATACGGATGCCAAGTTCGCTTATTCTTATTCCGATAATGCTCCTTATCTCTCACTGTCAAGTCAATTGATCTATTCGCTATTGATTCATATATAAAACCTTCGCATATTTTCACATCAGCAGCTTTCCTCACAAGATAAAATGAAAAACCATGAGAATTTTTCTGACAGACATGAGTATGCACTTTGTTTATCTATCTTCTTCTTCGCCATCTTCTTTCTTGGACTATAATCAAATTTCGCCTTCATGTTTTCTACACAATCACGAATGTGTAGGATATGAAGGACAGTTGGCGATTTCTGTTACTCTCATGACGCATTCAAAGTACCTTGACGAAATCAAAAATCCGTGGCGATATATCTCATTCACACGCCAAGTCTCCTTTCTTTCGCAGAAATTATGGCAGAGCGACGAGGCGATGGAAGTGGTCGGACCAGTGCGAGTGGCCCACCAATACGTCAACATGCCGGAGCAGACCGCGGAGTTCTACAACGAGACAATGGGCAGATTCGAGGAGGTAAACAGTGTTGTGCTTAGATGATTTTTAAATTAGCTAGATAAAGCTGAGATCAAAATATGTAAATTCATCTTAGATAAGATGAAGATGATTTTGTTTTAAATAGATCAAAGATCAAATTCTATGACGATTCATCTAGATCATCTTTCAGACTGCTTATGTAAACACAGTTGTGAAAGAAATGTAAATTATAAAAGGGACGTAAAAATATATGCATTCTTTCATTTATAAATTTTTATCGCTCATATTGCTTAAGTTCTACTATTTAAGTATTTTTATGTGCTATGATTCTAAATCAAAATTATCTGAAAATTATTCTATTGTAGATAATTTAGTAAAGATAATATTTTTTTCATCTAAGATGCAGATATAGATACATATTTTTATATTATCTATTGTATATAAATATAAGATGACGCCAAAGTTTTCATCTAGATAATCATTTATATAATTTTATTTAGATAACAGCCAAACACTGAAGGTAAATAACAGCTGTCATCTCTAATAATGACAACAAGAAATTCTTATCGATACAATGGCGGAATATATTCAGGCTTTTTGACAGGTTCGCGGCTGTACGCCTGCGATGGGTTACAGCTTCGCGGCTGGCACCACCGACGGACCAGGTTCGTTCGCCTTCGAGCAAGGAACAACAACGTCAAATCCTTTCTGGAATGCCGTACGAAACTTTCTGGCCGCCCCGTCGAAGGACGATATTTCCTGCCACGGCGCAAAACCTATTTTGTTAGCCACCGGACGGGTAAACTTCTTTTTTTCTTCACAAAGTGTATTTTTCATTACGATTCCAAATTCATCATCGGTGTACAATTAGCATTGTCATTAGTATGCAATTAGATATGCGAGATTTCACTGTGGGCCTCAGATAGGTGTCAGATTCTTCTCATAGATACCGTGTATAAGAAGAGAAAAATACCAACAATGAGATCCAACATGAATTATCGCGGCTCGATAGATAATAATAAACGATTCGCGGAAAAGATGGAAATATTATAGCGTTATGTGATTTGTACAGCGCGACGTAATGAAATCATTAAATCGCCGGCAGCGTACCGAATCATTTCGAATGATATCTCTGCTTTTCTGAATTTCAGATGAAGTTACCCTATCAGTGGCAGCCGAAAATCATTTCGACTCAGGTAGGCATAATCGGAAACGTCGTCATCGCCGGAGTGCCTGGTGAATTCACGACAATGTCCGGAAGAAGATTGCGAGAGGCTATAAAGAAAGTCATGAATGATGCTTCCAACGACGAAACATTCGTAATAGTCGCAGGGCTCTGCAATACTTACAGTGATTACGTAACGACGCCCGAGGAATATCAAGTAAGATGCTCATTGTTATTGCTAAAGCACTTATTCTCGAAAAATGAGACCACTTTAGGGATTTCCGGCACGTGGAGTGCGTCGAAATTTGTTACGATCATTATTTTTTTTTTACAGTGTCGTAAAATTTTCAATTTCACGCAGTTTTCTTTTGATAAGCTGCGGGAAATAAGTAGCGCGTAAAAGAACAGTAAAACTGGATTTCAACAATTCTTATTACGATCCTCGAGTCGCAAGCTCATTTCTTCGCGCAAGCATTTTGATGCATAATGCAGTTTGTGTATAATATAGTTGTTGAATTATTAATTTTCAGATACAGAGGTATGAAGGCGCATCGACGATATATGGCCCGCATACGCTTACAATTTACTTGAAACAGTATCAAGAGCTGGTACAAGCAGCTATTTTAGTAAGTAAATAATATATATAATAGGTAAATTTTTTTATTGATATGATTTTAATGATGAATTAATTAGCTCATTAAGTTGGCCTTTTAATTTATAACTTATATTTTATTGATATCTCGATATAAACCTTATTATATACGTAAATATATGTATATATAAAATATATACATATATGTATGGGTGTATATATGTATGAGCAAAAATATAAATATCTGTCTCAGAAGCAATGTAACGAGGAATTTTTATCGTCGATATATTATTGCACCGAAAAATTATTTTTTTACCTTGTCGAAGTCGCCGATATTTATCGAGTTATGGGATTATATTGGATGTACGCTATATTTTATCACACTTTGTGTTGTAGCAAAAATTTATTCCACCGGGACCACCAGCTTCGAAGCTGCTGCAAAGCAACCTGATTACTCTTGTACCCCCGGTGTTGTACGACACCCCAAGATGGGGACGTAACTTCGGCGATGTGATCCAGCAGCCATCAAAAATCGCTTCACTAGGTGACACGGTTACGGCAATCTTCGTGAGTATCTCAGATCTCTGCGATGCAATTTTTATTTCGGGAAAAATCGTCTGAAAACTTTTTCAATGTTCATCCGTTTTAATAGATAATAAAAAAATCGACAAGCACGAACGACATATGTCGCAAAATCGTATCGGAGCGTCGTGCACATATTACTGCATGCGATTGAATGTAATGGAATTCAAATAGGTTCATAGATTGCGTAAAATACATACATGCAATTCCACTTGGAAAATAACTGCGTGTGTCACTTCGCGAACCATTGACCGATGGCGCGCTACGAAATAGACCGATTACTATGCGATCCGAGAGCGCAGGAATTGTTTGTAAACACCGCAGTAATGAACCTTTACTACAACACAGCGTATTTCAAATCACGTTCGAATAATTAACACCGTTATTCAAGGACACTCGCGATTACAATAGGGAAATTTGCTAACCGTGTGCAAATATTTTAGTTATAATATGTGTATCGACTCTATTCGTGCAAATTTAATAATGCAAACGTTATAAGGTCAGGAAGATTAAATAGCCGCGTTTTTGCGTACATTTTTAAATTATTTTTATGTTGAGAAAAAACGTCGGAATATTTATCGAGGTTCTTGCAAAAAATCTTCCATCACAGAATTTTCCAAGATTGACAGATACCAAAGTATTGTGAACGCGACATTACGAATATGACGTGAGACATAATGGCAAAAATTCGCACAAAAGAAAACCATATGGCAGATCGTTAGCTTGTCCATTATATTTTCTTTATCTTCTTTATCCAAATGACATATGCTCATATAGTATACTAGCAGACTAACCAGTAAATCAACATGTGCCAGATGTGATTTTGATCTACCACAAATTAATGTAAATATATGCGTAATTCTGAATATAATTAGTCTAGTAATTAATATAATATCAATAATACTATAATATAGAATAATTATTACTAGTTTATTAATCAACTAGTTAGTAATAATAATAATACATTATAATATATAATACATATAATATAATTAGTTATAAACATATTTGTCCTAAATTAATGAATTTTGTGAAAAGCGGGAAAGCAATATCGCATTAATGTCTCACCTCGTAGCTATGTATGTTGAAAATAATATATGCCGCATACACTTTCCAACTCGCTATATTTTCCTTCACATGATGGATGAATGAAAGAGCGATTGCCGTGTCTTTTATCGACGGAAATCGTTATTCGACGTTAATCGCGGCAGATCCGCATGGCGATTGAGTCACGCGATAAAAAGCGACGCGACGTTTTCCCGCGCGGTTGCTCGCGTAACTCTTGGAAAATAGGTTGCCTTCGGTGACGCGATGTGCGAACGGATTAAGTAATCGTAAATTACCTTCTGGCTATAATTTCCGGCGATGGAAGCGCGAGATGCATCGTGAAAGCAGACACAAATGAATCACAGCTCCGTAACTTACGCGATTCGCTCACCAAGTCAGTTTAGAATTATTCTCCCCTCGGGCTTTATTGATCACTCGAGAAAACTTTGTCCGCTTCGCAACATCCAAGCATCAGTCGCGCGGTTGAAACACCTTTTATTCCGAGATTTTATTTCAAATCAAGTCACACGTAATTCGCGATGTAGAGACACTCGGGATTCTTATTGATTGCGTAACTGAAACGGATATAATGAATCGAAGTGAAACAATTGTTCAATTATGTAGTAATAATTTTATTACTTGTATTACAGGTCGCCGGACATCCACGTAATAATTTAATGACAGATAGCACTTTCTTAACCGTAGAGCGATTAGAAGGCGATGAAGTTTGGCTGCCAATAGCCACAGACGCCGATTGGGAGACTAAGTACGTGTACTAGATCATAATTTTGTCATAAAATCAGTCTGACATTTAATAATAATTATTCATATAGAAATTATGAAATACTCCAAAATGAAACGAAACTTACTTTATTTCTATCAACTGTAAAATCTTGATTTTTTTAACACAATAAATCGCAATCGGATATATATGTATGCTTTTAGATTTCAATGGACGAGAACTTCCGTGATATTGGGATCGAGTCAGGTGACCATTACGTGGGAAATCTCACAAGACGTTAAACCGGGCGAATATCGCATCAGGCATAACGGCTACTATCGTTATATTCTTGGTGGCGTGTATCCTTACTACGGTGTCACCAATCATTTTCGAGTGAGTTAACATGAAACATATCTCTTTCTTTCTCTCTCATTGTTTCTATTATAATATATACATATTAAATATATATTAAATATTAAATTAATATAATATTAATTAAAATATTATATATTAAATATTAAATATTAAAGACAAATCAGAAAGGTCTAAGAGCTATACGCGGATATTCCTTGCGTATATTTCCACCAAAATTAATTTTTCGTTGGAAATAAAAGAAATGTACACACGGCACATATTATTCTTGGTGTACTACCAAGACTTTATAATGTGAAATATCTCATACTTGAGATTTAATTTCAAAAATCCCTACACTTCTTTATTTCTTTAGGGGAATATAGAGGTTTTTGAAATTAAATATCAATATCTACGAGATATTTCATATTATAAAGTCTTGATAGTACACCAAGAATAATATGTGCCGTGTGCACATTTCGTTTATTTACAACGAAAAGTTAATTTTCGCCGGAAATATACGCAAGAAACATCCGCATATGGCTTTTAGATCTTTCTTATTTGTTTAATATTCATTATTTACAGAGCCTTGATATTTCTTCCCAAGTAGCAAGCGTACGTAATTTTGACGTTTAATGACGTCAGTTTGCTACTTGGGTTAGCGATTAAATATTAAAATACATATTAAGATAAGCAAAAGTTTCATGTTTACAATTGCGTTCTGCAATTTTATATTTTTTAATATACTAAATTTATTATTGTAAAAATGTTTTATTATTATATTTTGCGCTAATACGGTTTATCGCATACGTATTTGTATACGCATACTCTAATGTTTACTTTTCATTATGCGATGTTTACAGGTGGAAGTTCCTGGACGACAGATAATTCGTAAACGTTACTTTGGATAAGCTCTTGATATTTTCCTGCCCCATGTGCTTTCTTAGTTAGTAAAGAAATCATTACGCTTAATTTGCTAACGAATCAATGTCGCCATACAGTCAACATATGTGTAAATAGATATTCTATTTTAATTAAATAGTGAATATATCTTTTTTAAGATATTATTACGCCTCTTTATATGTAGAAGTTCGTGTATATAAAATAATAAATTCTTTAGATATATGGTATATCCGCGTTTATTGCGATATAGCCGCGTTTTTGCGTACATTTTTAAAATATTTTTATGTTGAGGAAAAAACGTCGGAATATTTATCGAGGTTCTCGCAAAAAATCTTCCATCACAGAATTTCTTTAGATATATATTTTTTTTAGATTTAATAATGCCACATGAAACTATTAGAATCTTCTTATGTAGAATAATATTAATATGTACTACACATGATATGTGTATTGGACTAATTTTAAGATGAAATTTTTGAAATTATTCTTGCGAGCTTGATTACAGAAAGTAATCATTATTGTAAAAATATAGATTTATTTAATAATCAATAAAGTACTGTGTAATTGCGGTTATATCTTCTTGAATTTTACCATTTATTCTTATTTCTCGAACTTTTACAACAAAGAAAACTTATTCAGAAAGAAGTTAAAAGGTAAAGATTTAATTTCTTCGTCTTGAAGAATTTTACAAATTCAATACAATTTTAATTAGAAAGTTATGTAAAGGAGTTTGCTACATTTATACCATGAAATTTTAACAAATTTTTAAGCCCAAAGAGAAAAGGTTTTCATACAAAATTGTTTAAATGTTTAAGAGCCTATTATATCATATAATAAAATGTGCAGAAATTATTCAACTCTTTAATAAAAAAGAAAATGTTTTATATAAAAAAACCAACTGTTTTCTGTGCAACTATGTACAATTATATTATTTTGTTAGTAATTATGTTAAAGTTATATTAATATGATTATAATTCTACTTATTAATCTGAAAAATATGATATACATATAGTATAATATGATATACATATGTATAGACATAATAAGCTTTCAAAGCATATCGCATTACATATCAGTATGTTACATGCATTTGTTCTTTTTTAAAACGATACTCTGTTAATTAATAGTATAGATAGAGTACTTTCCTATAAAATAATTATATTTTGAAACAAAAGTGGAAATAAAATAATATTTCTTCAACTAATAATTTTCTTGACTCTACGAAAAAAAAGAAATCTTACTAAGACATATTCTAATTATTGAATGTAATGAGATTACTATACTTAATTACTATAAATGCATTAATTGAATGCAAATTGTAAATTAACTGTTTAGTGGTATTTCTTTATAATAATTACGATCGCCGTGTATACAAATAATCTTAAATTGAGAAAATTATCAACCGCAATCAAGACTCCATTATTTTGTAAAATTGCAAACATAATTGACAAATAGACTAACAAAACTTTGCGTCCTCCCCAAACTTTGCGTATCTCTTGTAACACCTCCGCATATTAGTCAATTGACTTTGTTCGATAATCTTGACAAAAGGTTATCCATTATTTACTGTATTATTCTCTGTGCAATAATTTATATGTGCAATAATTTTTACGCTGCAAAAAACAAAGCAGTTCGTGTCATTGGAGCACCAAGATAATAATGGTATTTTTCGCAATCTCGGATATCGCTATTCTGCATGCAAATGTTGGAGGCGTGAAATGCGATATCATCGAGATAATTCTCTATCGCATGAGATAATGTATCCTAAAGAGATACATATATATATATATATATATCATATTTCTCGTATTAATATCTCTTTAGACTAATTTATATGCAAATGAGAAATACTATTCATATTCTTCATTTTATATTAATTTGTAATATAATAAATTAAAATATGTATAATTTTATTTTTTAATTCATCCTCTATTTATACATATGTCCGAACAATAGGTATGTGCATTACTTTGATTATATCTGACTAAATAAGATACAAATAAAAAAGATCTCATTGTAAATTCTCATTTTCGAGAACATAAAATTTGTCAACGTATTAAAAGATGTTTATGTTTTTCTTGGAGATTTTTGTCGAGCATAATTAGATATTTCGTGGAAAAAAAATAAGTTTCCTTTAAAGAAGATCTATTTTTAAAGACATTCGATCTGCAGCCTTGTTTAACATAAACTTGAATGATGAATTATGCATGAAAGACAATTACTGTATTTTAATTAGTTCATATATACATTACAAAATGCAATTTTTACCTGTGTAATCTTCTAAGATCCTATTAATTTATATCTCTTCCATTTACTCGACAATTTATATTCATTCCATGCCCCAACATTAAACACTACCTTAAATACTATCTATTTGTATTGTTACGAATTGTCGTAATAATGGATGAAACGGACCCGGCATTCAAGATGAGATACAAGAGACAAGTAAGGGGATGACTACTCGCAGTCAGGAATGCTTTGTGAACGACTATGCAAATATTAATTAACAAGATGAGATAATATGCGGGCTAATGTCCCGGTAAAGTTCATTGGTATAATAAATTGAGGCGCGCAGCTCAACGTCCGCTTGTCAATCTGTATTTGTGCATGCCGCGTGCCATTATTTGCAGTCAACTTTGCACTCGACAGACTGTGCTCAAGTGCATCGCGGCACGATAATCTAGGACAAGAATAACAGAGCGTCGATATGTTCGCAAACATTAAAGTCGAGGTAAACGGCTGGCACTTCAAAGCAGGAACCACTGGTGGAAATGAGGAGTGTAATTAGCAATAAGAGTAAAGACAGAGGAAACGAAGTGGAGTGAATCGACAGGCTCCTAATAGCTGGTACTTGAAATGAAATGAGCTGTCGACTCGGCAGAGAGGTGGTTGGGTTGCAGGGTAACCGCGGATATATTCTCAACGGGTTTCATTCGCGAGGTCGCGAGCAAAATATTATGAAAGCACCGGGAAGCGATATGGCTCTTTACTTTGCTTTGATAAAATTATCGCCTCCGAGTACAAATCGTTCTAGACCCGGTGACATTATTATCAAGAGAAGAGAACGTAGGATGATAGTCCATTATAAGAGTATAATTATAGCATAAATTAATATCTATATAGTATAAATTAATTACTATCTATAAGAGTGACAAGCGTGTGCTCTGTTTGACGAGCAATTTCGCTCGTGATTTCGTTTTTTCTTTTTATTTTATGAAACATTTTAATCAAATTTTCCTGGGTTTAAGGCATATTTAAAATAACTCGATAAAACGCAGATAATCAAGTTTCACGTATGAAAACAAACGCATTAATATTGTTTTCTGTGCGATTTAAATTTTCATCGAGTTATGCGGTTTTAAATTACATAACGAGGCGCACGTGGAGCGTATACAAAAGTGTATGCACTTGTGAATGATTCCACCTACCTCATGTTTCTATATATTTCTATAAATATGATTAAATTCTGCAAATACAAAAGACAAAGATTATTACGAGAGTTAATTGTTTTTATGCGAACAATGTTCTTGCAGCCTTCTGCAATTAAATATATAAGATGTATAAGCGTATATATACGTGTATAACAATCAAATTAATATAAAAATTCCTGTCATGATCTAAGAAATAATAATTTTAATAAATTACAAAAAAAAGGAAAAAGATGAAAAAACTTGGAATAGAGAAAATATATAATATAACTCAAATACATTTGTACTATCTAAACTTCGTTAATTGCATTCCACAAGAAGCAAAACTCTAGAATCAGAATAATTAACTGAAGGTATTTTTTTCTCATAAGGACTGTTATTTCTAATAAAGGGCAAACTGATATTTGATTTTATCGAGCTTTATTACTAATATGTTAATATTACGATTGATTAATTACGTTTCCACTTGAAAAGTTTCTTGCTGAAGTATTTAAAAAATCTGCGAAAAAATTTGCCCTTTATAAACTTTCAAAGTACAGTAAAATAACGATATTTTCTTGTTCATTAAAATTCAAAATAGACATTTGTATATTTAATTTGAAATATTTTTCTTTCGGAGCTAAATCAGAAATATAAATATGCATAGAATGACAAAAATAACAAAATTTGTAACAGGAAAGAAAAATAAGAGCGAGATGACGGGAGTGACTACTTACTTATCAGCTACTAAATAAATACATGAGTATAATCCTTATTCCAGGGAATGAGATAGCATCGCAAAAACTCCTACAAGATTTTGGCCGCAAATAAACGTCACCGTAAAAAAAATCCGATCCAGCGAGTGCAGGTACATGAACAGTCGGCTGTAAAAAAAAAAAGAGAAGGACATCCTTAATCGTTTGCATATAGTTGTCGAAAAAAAGTATATCTAAAAACGAGGAATCCTACCGATTCTGAAATAATGTATCCAAGGGCATCGTATCGGCGCGCCAGCGCTGAACTTGCCGGATGGAGGAACGGCCGGCGTCCTTCGGTGCGTCGCGGCGTTGGCAGTCGTGATTCGACCGGCGCTCGTAGCGGCAGGTAGACCCATCTGCTCCTCTCGAGAATGTGAACGAACTCCCTTCGTCCCTCCACCCCCTGGCGCCCTGGAGGAAAACAAAGTTATTGAAGACACGCGTGAAATTGTTTGTAGAGAAGACTATCATGTGATTGCGCGCGTGTATACGAGAAGCTTAAATAAAAAAAAGCGTCGATACAAAAAACCAGTAGAAGTGATATTTAATGAAAAATTCTTCTGTTTTTCTATTTGTTGTTGAGCAAGTTTGGTGCAAAACACTTCGTGATCTTGAGCCTTATGTAGGCCTTGATAATGAAATGAGTGATAACGAGTTATCCGTCAGTAGCAGAAACTTTCGAAAGATGCGAGATACAATAACTTCGACACACGAGAAGGAAATCTAGACGTAATTTGCTTCAGTGACCCTCTCTTTGGGGATTGATTTCGAACTTGGATCAAACAGAGATTAAGTTACCCTTACTCTGAGTTATTTGTGAGATATATCCGATATATATCTTATGGGCAAGAAAAAAGGAAAACAGAGGCAAACTTAAGAACTTTTCCTACGAAGGAACAAAAAATATAGGAGCCAACGGCACATAAAATCAATGAAAATTTCATTTATCCACTTCGCATGAGACCAACTGGCCGTCAGCGAAAGAAACGAAAAAAGTTGGTGTCCCAGTTTTGTCGCCAACTATCGGGAAAGAAGAAGCATCTGAGGATGTCAAAGAACAGAAAACTTTTTCTGCGTGTCGAATAATTTGAGGATTGCAATATGGCCCCGACAGTAACGTCGATCCTCTTAAACAACACCTACATAGAAGTCAGCTACAACGGTAGTCTGGCATTATCGGAGCAAATCAACAAATCAGCTTGGATTAACGACACGTACGACTTCGGCGTGTCGTTAGGTCCGTATCGGGACTCCTTATACGTGGTGATACCGGTGACCATAATCTACGCGTCCATCTTTCTCACGGGCATCGTCGGCAACATCAGCACGTGCATCGTGATCGCGCGCAACAAGTCCATGCACACCGCAACAAATTATTATCTTTTCAGTTTAGCCGTGTCCGACCTGTTGCTACTGGTTTCGGGCCTACCGGCCGAGATGTACACGGTCTGGTGGAAATATCCGTACATCTTCGGCGAAGACTTCTGCGTCCTGCGTGGCCTTGCCTCGGAGACGTCGGTGAACGCGTCGGTGCTCACCATTGCCGCCTTCACCGTCGAGAGATACGTCGCGATCTGTCATCCGTTCCTCTCGCAGACTCTGTCCAATCTCTCTCGCGTAATCAAGCTAATCCTCGTGATATGGCTGCTGGCCCTGGCGTGCGCGTTGCCGCTGGCCTTGCAAGTCGGACTGGTCCAGTACGGCGATCACCCCGAAATGATCGTGTGCACAATCAAGAGGATCATCGTTAATCATTCGTTCGAACTGTCCACGTTCCTGTTCTTCGTATTGCCGATGTGCCTCATCACGTTTCTCTACATGCTCATCGGCATCAAGCTCAGGAAGTCGAACATGACTGTCCCGGGTAGATCTGAGTCGAGAAACTGCAGACACTATCCTGGAAGATCGTCCAGGAGGGTGTTGAAGATGCTAGGTGAGTTTCTCGCTGCGTCTTCGTAACGTAAGTTTTCATTTGTGACGATAAACCAGTTATTTATTTGATTAAATTTAATTGTCGGGTGATTGAGATGAATAATATTCGTCGTTTCGTTTGGGTAAACGGCCGAGCAGAAAAATAGATTATTATTGCAATAATATATCCTTGACTGCGCAATTAAATAAGGATACAAACAAATCATCCATTAACCGCACCACATATCATAGATGTTGAAATCGTTTTATAATTCATCTTTTTTATATACTATCTAACAACAAATACACTTAATGATTCCGCAAACTGCAAATAATTATTGTTGTTGCAGCCTTCAGTTATAGTCTTAGTCGCTTTTATAAAGCGCATTACTATTTCATGAAAGTTTTACATGTAATAAAAGCGATTAACTCCTCGACAGTTCAAAAATAAATAACAATCTGTCATTACAAATAAAAGCAAATAAAAGCAAAATTTCAATATTCACCAGAGACTATAATATATTCTTGTAATAAAATTCATGCTACAAAAAAAAGCGCTTAAAATTTTATTCTAAAAGAATATCGGTGAATATTAAATAGTTTTTGGTAATGATCTACATGGTTCTTTAATCAAGTATATATAATGAGGCGTAGTATTATGTTATGCAACATGGAATATAACTACCGCAAAAACTAGGCAGAAGAAACTGTTTACTTATACAAGTTTAATTCATCGTTTTAAATATGCACGCCACCTTGTCATCATCAAACTTTCCATTAAAATTTTCTGGTCAGAAGTTAAACTTTGCCTTGAATTGTTTAAAGTTGTTGACAAATCTCGCACGATTAACATTAAAGATATGCTGAAAATACTTGAATTTCATACAATGTGAAAATGATATGTAAAACAAGAAATTATTATTCGTGACGGTTTATATAATAACATTGTGCATGCGGTGTGCCGTTGTTCACATTCAATTCGATTGAGTTCTACATAAGATAAAATTTACAACGCATTGCATATTGAATTTTTAGTTGAATATTTACAATATTTTATCTTTTTAAAACGGAAGAAAGAATATTTGTTCATATCTCTTACTGAAATTGAAAAAAATTTTTATCTCATGATCATCGATGCGTTAACTGAAATCAATGAATGAACTATACATTGTAATTTGTTTCTCGTTTTCTTAATTAGACTTGTAATTCAAGGTGAATCGAGAAATTTAAATTGATTACGTATGTGAAAATCACGCATATATATATATATATAAAGATCACCCGCGGCGATTGATCGTTTTATTACAGTTACAATAGCTGTACCATAGTTGAACAAACACCGCCCGCACGTATTTTGCATGATACACAAATGCATCTACGTATATTATAGTTTTGTGTACTCTGTATTCTCCATGGGCAAACACGGAAAATCTATCTCTATATCGAATGTGTAAACTCGAAATAAGAATCTATAGTGTCAGTTATTTTTACATCGGTCGATACTTTCTTATTGGATGATCGGCTGCCCTATAATTCTACATTTCATCAAAATCACTTGCATGCGGGGCAAAAGTCCGAATATAAATTGCTAATTTAATCGTCAATAAGTGGTTTTTATATACATATTTGTCCATATATATACATATAATAATATACGTATATTTAATTCCTACTTACAAAAAGAATATAAGTATGTATATATATTCTTTTCGTAAATAGTAATTCAATATAATTATTTTGTGTACATTGAAAAACTTTTATTATATACGTTATCTTCAATAACTAAATGTAGCAAAGTTGAATGCATCGCTGGTGTTTATTCGCTTCTTTCAAAGTTTGAAGATAAAAATCGTCTGGCGCGCAGTGCTATAGAATTCTTACTCCATTTATTATGCACATATATACATACGTATTATATTTGTCTGCCATCCGGTGCAGTTGTATATAATATTTTCTCTCAATAAATGCTAATTTCGTATTAAATGTTCTTATTAAATGCACATGTTTAAAGATATTAATATTGCTTTAATGTGCATAAATCTTCTTATCTTCTTATCGAAGAATTTAGAATTTCGTACTCTACTCTCTTTCTCTCGTCCTCTTCTCTTTCTCTCATTACATCTAATAAAATATTTTTTTATAAATTTTAAATTAAAATTAAATATTATAAAAATAATAATTAATAAAAATATATAAATATAATATTTAAAAAATCTCGAAACTTTTAAAAGCTAGATGCGCGTAATACAGTGTAAGTGTTTTAAGGAAATTTATTCAAGGGAATTTCAAGGAACTAATTTGTATTCTGAAACTAAAATGTGGTTTTCCGTAAGAGCAGTCGCGTGGAAAGCAACAGGATTTGATTCCCCAATGCAGCGCTTTTATATTTTCCCGATATTTTTCCAGTCTACACTTTTTGATGGGAATCGAAGGGAATATTAAAAAATCAAACTCGAATTCTCCCGAGATTAATTTACTTGATTTCGTACCAAATAAGCTTCCAGCACAAATTAGTTTTAAAAAAAATTAATTTTTTTTCAAACTTATGCACTATTATATACTCACGTCTGGCTCTTAACTACTTACCAAATTTAAATCACGTTTTTAACTTGAAAAGTCTTATCAATTCTTTGCTTAATGAAATATTATAATTCTATATATACTTGATAACTTTGTTACGATGTAAAGAGAAATTAACATTCATAGCGTAATATTCCTTGCGCTGATCGCGCGACACGGTGGTTTTATAGCCGTAAGGCGCCATCGTGAACGACCTGGAGAATTTAAAGATTACATCCCACGAAATCCAGTAAGATGCTTTGAGGCAACATCAAAGCGAATATGGAACACTTTATTGAATAAGACATCTCAAAATACATTTATTTGCGGACAACTTGTTTTGAACGCACGTACAGCTACATAATGCGTCATATTAAATTAGACGACCTAATGCGACTTTAAGACACCAAATAAAATTTATGAAATTTGATATCTTATTATCGATCGTCATTCGGATGTGATTGAATATTTCTTATCCTTTTCATATTTCAGATTTGTTATCTTCAATTCCTGTTTACAAGTTTTCGTTCGTGGCATATGATCCTCTATTGTGTTTTTCGAAAAATTCAATTTCGCGTTCCAGCAAAATTCGAATTGTTTAACCTTTTGGAAAATTCCGTGGACTAGTAACTGACACATATGTATATGCAACGATTGCGTAGCTTTAATGTAGCCTCGAGTGTCCTTTAATCATATCAACTTTTATTCATCAGGGACGAATAAATAAAGCAATCAACATGACGAATACAACGTAATCATACGTGAGTGACATGAAAATTACGTCGTACGTATATAAAAAAAATATGAGAATGAATTTAATTCTTCTTTACTGTAATGTAAACTAATGACTCTCTTAGCAATTGCGTCAGTCACAGACAATGCCCCTATGGAAAATTAAAATAATCGTTGGATTAACTCTTCTGTAGTATGCAGTTCTGTGGATACGCTGAGAAAAATATGAACAATCAACGAACGTATTACGAGCGAAATATTTTGTGTAATGAGCTAAATCGTAGAATTTCCAGACTTTATAATCTATATAGAAATAATTTTTTATACAAATAATTGTAAAAATCTTGTATACTTGTTAACATTATATTTTAATATTTCTTAGCATCTTTTATCTTCAATTCAAATAAATATACACATTTTATTTTACACGTATGAAATTTATTCGTGATAAAATAATTAAAATAATGCACGAATACATTAATCATATTAACTGCTTATCCTTGGACGGGTAATTTTTGATTAGATAGGTAATATAGAGATAATATATATATATATATATATATATATATATATATATATATATATCTTTTTCTATAATCACAAATTATTATTTATATATTCTAATTTGATTTGGTAATATTGTACATATATATGTATAATATCGTTCTCTATAATCACAAATTATCATTTAATTGCGACTGATGCGGAATATTATTTGACACACACGTACATATATAGTCAATTCTTAATCGAATTAAGACACACACTGAGAGGAAGAAATTACATTTTATCGATATAGTATCGAAAGTTTCACGCACTCAATTTACTTTTTTATTCCATCGTTTATTATCAGAAGAATATCTTCTCTGATAGAGTTTGATCAAATGTAACGATTGTAGTAAACGCAAATCTAATTAGAGTACTCGAATAAAATCTAATTAAATATCGATCGTGTCTTTTAAAACTCATACACTGAGAAGAATTTATGTAAAATTAGAAGAACGCACAAAAAGTACGTTCTTATAATTTTCTCGTTTGTTTTTTTATCCTCAACTTTTTTGTCTCTCTAAATTGTTTTCAAAGTCGTTCGAAGAATATATAATTCTATCAAGTCACTAAAGAAACATAGTATATACTATGTTAACAATAGAATGTCAAGCGAAACCTCGACTAGTAATTATTGGAAAACACTTCCACAGAATAATTAAGGATGATCGATAACAACGCATCGATGTTGCATTAAGATTTCGTTGTGTTCGAGATGATTTCATAAATGTCTTATTTTGCTTTATTGTGCGCTATATTAATAAAATTAATAAGATTATGTATTTAAAAAAAAGAGAATACTTTTCTCTTCAATAATTTATAATCTCTATAAGTTCATCAGAATGATAAATGTGATTAAAGATTCCGAAGAAGAATCGTGAGAAAAGTTGTAATTAGTACGTCAAATTCATTAGTAAAGATTTGCATGATTTCAATCCAATAGGACTTTATGATCCTAACGAGTGCGCGGAAAGCTTTTCTACTTCCATATATCAGTAGATTTTTAATTAAATTTTTGATTAAATCATTTGACTGAAGGATTACCGACATGGATCGGTAGTTTGCATAAAAGAATTGCATACATCGGCATGTTTACACGACATTTGTACCTTTTAATACGTTCGATCTAAAATCTGGCGAGGTTTTATGATCGACACGTGTACGTTTAAAGTGATGCAATGAAAG